GAAGGAAGAGAAAAGAAGAAAAAAACAGGATGCGGTGTATACATACAGCTATATATACATACAGAGGAAAAGAGGTAAATAAAGACTATATTATACCATATAAAGAGGAAAATAAAGGAATAAATATAAATAAATAAAGAAATAAAGGATATTTGTGCAAAAATTCATGAACAAAAGAAGAAAATAAACATAAATAAACAACTTTTCCTTCCCCCCTCTTGCTGCAGGTGTTGTTGGGTGTACGTACACCGCAGCACATACACCGCAGCAGTAATATGACCACCGTGCTGCTGCTGCTTCTGCTGCTGCTTATTTCTTTGCTTTTTGCTGTTAATTTATATATATTTATATATTTATTTGTTTTATTTATAATTATTTAATTAAAAGAAACAAATGCACAAAAAAATATACTCTTATAGATGCAATAATAAGGGCTTTCTTATTCGTGCATGCATACACCTCACGGGGCTGCTCTTCTTATCTTCCTTCTTCTCTTTCCTTCCTTCCTTTGCTGCAGCAGCAGCAGCAGCAGCAACAGCAGCATCTGCTGCTAATGCTGTATCTTTTTGCTGCTAAATATATATAAATACACGTACAAGAAACATCAAGAACTACAGCAAGCTAAACTCGCGCCGCTGCTGCTGCTGCTGCTGCTTATTACTTCTTCTTCTGCTGCTGCTGCTGACAGCAGCAGACAGACAAAAACAATAAATAAAAAGACGTAGCAGCAACATATATCATACAACAACTAGCAAATATAACAGCAGCAGCAGCAGCAGCAACAGCAGCAACAGCAACAGCAGCAGCTGCTGCAACTTGCATGTCTCTACAGTAAATACTGTACCACAGTGATAGTACGGCAGTGAAAACAGCAACAGCAGCAGCAGCAGCAGCAACTGCAGCAGCAGCAGCAACAGTTTTTTTTTGTATTCTTTTTTTATTTAATGAATATGCAGCCCCCTGCAAAGATTCAACGTCTGGGCTCCTTTGGAGTATCTGCTGCAGCAGCAACAGCAACAGCAGCAGCAGCACAAGCACCAGCACCATCAGGACCAGCAGCATCAGCAGGAACAACCACAACAGCAGCAGCAGCAGGAACAACTTGTGTCTCTTTTTCTGTACCATCCTTACCAGGTGTAAATGGATCTCCTTCTCCTCTACGTATGAACAGCAGCAGCAGCAGCATCAGCATTAACAGCAGCAACAGCAGCAGCAGCAGCAACAGCAGCAGCAGCAGCAGCAGCAACAACAACAACAATGGCATAGTGGATAATTCTTCATCTTCTGTACTTGCTGCAGTACTTGGTGAAGACCCATCAACAACAGCAGCAACAACAGCAGCAGCACCAGCAGCAGCAACAACAACAGCAGCAGCAGCAGCCCCAGCAGCAGCACCAGCAGCAGCAGCAACAGCAACAGGAGGTTATAGTATACCGATGGTATCTTCTTCTCCTGGTATGTTAAGTAGAGCATTTACGATGCCAGCAATGCCGGTATCAGCAGCAGCAGCAGCAGCAGCAACAGCAGCAGCAGCAGCAGCAGCAGGAGGAGGAGGAGTAAGACCAGGACAAATAAGGAATAAGCCACGATTTAGTTTATATGCATCATCTAAGCGTGTATTATGTTGTCCCTTTTGTACCCCAAATGCTGACAACAACAGCAGCAGCAACAGCAGCAGCAACAGCAGCAGCAGCAGCAGCAGCAGCAGCAGCACAATAGTATTTGATAGCAGCAGCGGAGACCAATTATGCAGGGAATGTGGGTACGTAATAGAGGAGAGAGTACTTAATGAGGAGCAGGAGTGGAGGTCATTTAGTAGCGATTTAACAACAACAGGAGGGAGCAGCAGCAGCAGCAGCAGCAGCAGCAGCAAAGGAGACAGAAATAGAATTGGAGACACATTAGATGCATGGCTTACTGATGGAGGTATAGGGACATCTATGATGCTGGGATCGGGATCGTCTTCTAGGGGGCTGGGATCGGGGAGACGACTACAGATGCTGCATGAGGCTACAACGAATTCTGCTGCTGCTGCTGCACCACCACCATCTATAAATACATCTTCTTCTTCTTCATCATCTGCTGCTGCTGCTGCTGCTGCTGCTGCTGCTGCTGATGGAGGTATTGTTAATAAGGATAGACAACTCAAGGCTGCATTCTCTTATCTACGTCTTATTGCTGAGGCTTTTTGTCTTAGGGATTATATACTAGAGAGAGCTAAAGAAATTGCTAAGGAATTACTTGTATGTATACATTTATTTATTTATTTATTTATTTATTTATCTATTTATTTAGTTTATTTATTTATTTATTTATTTTATTTATTTATTTATTTATAATTTATTACTCTTATTCTTATTTTTTGTACAAAAAAACACAATAATATATATACTTTATACGTATATTTATGTATATATGTATATATGTATATGTATATGTATATATGTATATGTATATGTATATGTATATGTATATGTATATGTATATGTATATGTATATC